TAACTTCTCAAAAACAGCCCTTCCACAACAGATTCTCTCTAACAGAACTTCTATTAAAAAAATCAGCCACACCAAACAGGCTCTAAGTTTTGAAGTTGTCTTCAATTAGAGGAGACTTCAAGTATGTGAATTTCCATAATCTCGTCCTCCAAACTTGTTCAATGACCTGGGCACAATCAAAGAACAATAATTTATGCATTAATTTAGGCCATAAAGAGAAAAAATAATAATAATAAAAAATCTTAATTATTAAAATAAAAGACAAAGAAATAAAAGAAAAGAAAAATTTTATGTTTGGGTTGCCTTTCAATAAGCGCTTAATTTATAGTCATTAGTTAGACTTTTTGCCACTCCAAGGTGGTTTTGGATCAGGTCATAGACTATTTCTTCTCGTTTTCTTAAATCTTGGCTTTCTTGCCTGTAAGTTGAATTCACCATAAGATTTTCTCCAATGACTATTCTAAGGTGGTTTGGGTTTAGGCCAAGAGATGTGCCTTCTCAATTCTTCTAGGAGTGCCCCCTTTGATTCATAGGAAGATGATGATGTGTTCAAGCAATTTATATATTTTTTGATTGGATCATTTGTTTGAATAAGATAAATCTCAAATGGATCCTCATAAGTGTTTTCCTGTAAAATCTCATCAACCATATCAATAATAAAATAATCATTAAAATCAGATTTGGTTAAAGGAGACCTCCCATTGAACACTTCAAATGACACTTAAGCTTTTTCCTTCTCTTCCTTAGGGACATCCTCTTGTTTAGTTTCTGCAAGTATGCTTTCCACTTCTCCAAGTTGTCCTCCAATCTCCAAGAGTAAAATGTTTACCTCTTCTTCTTGATTTGTTATTATTGCACTAGATAACTCACCTAGTATTTCTTCAGCAACTAAGTTGAGCGAATGACTTGATTGGGCCTCCAAATTTCTATCCAAACATGTCTCCTCTTCTTTAGCTTGAAACCTTAATTGTGGCTCCAGTATATCTTCATTATCCCACGAGGAGTTTGAATAATTTATCCAATCAGAATTGCATGTATTGGAATAAGAATTATACTGATGACTATAAAACTCACAAGAAAAATCAACACACTTATTATATCGTTTAAATAAGCAATCAGAACTAAAATGATCTAATCCACACCATTCACAAGTGATGTTTAATCATTCTATTTAAGCCTTCTTTAATTTGATCCTTTTAATGACTGCTTGAAATCGTTCAAGTTCATCATCGTCAAGTTCTGCATCTCAATTGATAGTTATTGCTTCAACTTGTGCTCTTATCTCTAGAGCAAGCCATTGATAATTTAGATCTGTGTTTAGGCCAACTCGATCCATAGTTAAACCTACAAAAACAAAAACAAGGAAACAGAAAAAAAAAAAAAAATCAAAGTACAGAAATAAGAGAAAAGAAAACGTTCAAATTAAATCTAGAATTAACCAACTTTGATATTAATTAAATCAACAATCCCCGGCAACGGCACCAAAAACTTGATGCACTAAAATCACCCTACCAAGTGTACTAGTCGCTCCAAGTGATATAATGATAAGAAGAGTGTTAAACCCATGAGGATAAAAATTATGATTTCTGATCTCTGCAATTTACTCCTAAAAAATTATGATTTCTTCCAATTAAGTCCTTTCCTACACAAAGAATAAAAATTATCTAAAATCAAGTAAAATCTGATAAAACTCATCCAAATATCAACAATATCAAGGCAACAATTTCACATTAACATGTATATAAATTCATCTCATCAAATCTCAACCATTCAAAGTGGAGAGATGAATGGTCAAGATTTTGTATAAGTATGATGTGTCAGACTTATGTGTGATTAGATCCCTACTCATATTTATGTTGACAATCATTTTTGTAGTACCCTTAAGGCCTATACTAGTTGCTGGTGGGTATCAGTTGAAGTCTCTCTCTCTGGTAATCATGAAGGTTATCTTCTTTGCAGATGACTGTAGTTGAGGCTTATGTTGGTGGGGAGAAAATTGATCCACCTGACAGCAGCTCACAATTATCTCAGACACTAACCTCATTACTTATTGAAGGCATTGTACAGAATTCAAATGGTAGTGTTTTCACACCAGAGGTAAGTATTGGATTGGATTATTATTGAATCATGTTCTATAACCAAAGATTTTAATGAATCACCTCTGTATATTGTTATAACAATGTTCTCATTGATCTTTTCCTAGGGTGGTGGAGACGTGGAGGTTTCTGGATCACCAACTGAGAAGGCAATTCTTAAGTGGGGAATCAAGGTTATATTTTTGACTTCATCTCTCTTGCAACCCACTTGGTGGGTCTATAGTCTTGTAACTCATCTAGTTTTAAAATTTAATTGCAGCTTGGTATGAAATTTGATGCTGTTAGATCAGAATCATCTATCATTCATGTTTTCCCATTCAACTCAGAGAAAAAACGAGGCGGTGTTGCAATAATATCGGTAATGTGACTTATAGTAGTCTTTCATGAGTGATTTTCGCATTGATGCTTTTACTTAGAAGTATTGATTGCATTGTAAGTGCCCTTTGTTGTCAGTCTGCGTCCAGGTTTTATCTGTATGATCTATTTGACTTACAAATTTCTTTTAGTTGTTTAGAAAATGTTAACTTCTTAACAAATGATAGTGATTTTGTTGATCAGCTGTAAAAATGACAAAATCAGCATTTAAGAATTACAGCAGTCAGCAAAATAGCAAAAATAACTGCATCAATTTTAAAACATTACTGAGATTATGGCCTAGAGATAAAATATGTTGAGATTAATTGAATATATTGTGTGCCTCCTGTG